TGCCGGTTGTTCCTCCCCAGGTGCATCACCTTGCACTTGTCGGTGTTGAATCCCATCCTGTTCTCATCCGCCCACCCTTGTAACCTGTCTAGGTCTGATTGTAGCCTGTTGCTTCTTTCTAGTGTGCCCACGTCCCCCCACATCTTAGTGTCATCAGCAAATTTGAACAGGGTGCTTTTTACCCCCTCGTCCAAATCACTGATGAAGATGTTGAACATTGCGGGCCCGAGGACTGAGCCCTGCGGAACCCCACTGCCCATCCATCTCATGTCACATGCCACACACAACTAGGAGCCTGCACAGCTTATGTATACATTACTATTAGTTGTGTCTGGATGTTATGAGCTTGCAGCATTAGGAGTTAACTTTGCAAGCACAGGGTATTTTGTGAAGCATTTCCTTTCTGTGAAACATTCAATGGCATGTGAGACAGAAAATCCTCTTGGTTTTGTTCAGTGAAATTTTCAGATCCAGAACTATTTTTTTCTTTCATCTTTACACCCTAGCAACAAATTTTGCTGCATCTGTTTTTCCCCTTCCTTGTACAGCAAAGCCATAATTTCCATAATATGAGCTGATGGAGCTAGCTATCACATTACCAAAATAGCCACATGACTGGCATATTATTTTCACTGCCACATATACCTTACCTGAATGTATTTTTTTGGAAAATTGCTTCTCCAAACCCTTTACCCTAAGTGACCTGTGTCTCTAGCCTGGTGTTGCAGGAGGATTTCTCTTAGGGCAGTTGCTGTTCATAGGTAGTTTCTTTTAAAGTTGTCAACCTCTTCCAGACTTATGGACTAAGAGTAATTTTTAGGCTCCTTTAGTTTTGATGAGTATGTCCTTCCTTGCCTCATTCAGACTGAACCGTCTGGAAATCAGTTTTCTATAACAAAGATTAACCAAGAATTTCTATTTTTTTTAAAGAAGGAACTTTTGAGCAGAGGGTTAAGGCCCAATGCAAAGAATGACAATATGTGGCTAGTTAGTCAAGTTATTAGTCACTGAAGATAAATACTTACGGGAATATACAGTGGTTGCATTTTCTTGTGTTTGCTGGAACTGTTCTCTGTCAGTTCCAGGAGCATGAGATAGTGACCGAGTATCTGAATCTGGTGAATTAGTTCTGGCATCCATTTCTCCTTTCAGAATCAACCAACTGGTCTTTAGCTGAAGAGAACAAAGATCAGTATTAACATGTGTATTTATTTCTACAAATTCACCAACATGGGAATTTTTTCTGATACATTTTTATGTAAAGGGATATTGTAGTAGGGCACTTGGGTGCCTGCTACTGAGAACAGGAATATAGGCTCAGCTGCCACGCACCAGGGGCAGCACAGGTGGGTTGCCAAGGCAACTGATTGTGTCAGCTGACCAGAAGGGGGCAGGGCCTGGCCTACATAAACAGAGAAGGCCGAGGCCAGAGTCAAGTTTCCCTCTGGCAGCCTAAGGAGCAAGAGCGAGCAGGGCAGTGGTGTGCGGCTACAGGGTGGAGAGGACCCTGGCAGGGATGAGAGAAGGTTAGCTAGGTTGGCTTAAGATTTATGTTGTAGCCAAGGGGATTTGAGTTTCTGTTTGGAGTTGATAGTTGTAATTACAAACCGGAGGACTGGGCGAGGCTGAAGGGGTGGAGGAGGCCTCTTAGGAGCTCCCCAGTAGGGGGAGGGGTTCCTAGCACCATAGGGGGCACTGCGTTTAGGGGATCCTGACCCCGGCCCCAGTATGGGTGATATCGGGACGAGCCCAGTGGGCGCAAGACCCAGGAAAGGTGTCTGGGGGCCAGGTAAGATTAAGGCCGCCTGAGCCCCAAATGGGAAGAGCCCCCGTGGGGCATGGGTCTGGGGGCCAGGTAAGGCTAAGGCTGCCTGAGCCCCAATTGGGAGAAGCCTGAGTTGGGCATATGACCCTAGAAGGGGTCTGGGGCC